GTTTACGTGGCATAGCACCCACCATAAATGCAACATCAATGTTTTTGAAAGCTACTTCAAGATTGGAGGTTGGAACAATCTTCTCAAGAACACTAAAGGCACAATCTTGAAGTTCCATCACAACGCCCTCGAGAACTGTCATAGCGGGCTCAATATCAAGAAGATGGAGGTTAACTTTTTGGTCTTTACCAAACAGATTGCCGTTTGCTACCATGCTGGAAAGATTATAGGCGATTTGGCCAGCAGCGCCAGTGATGAGAACAGTAATTGGACCAGTCTAAATCCATAGATAATAAAAGCCAAAGTGTAAAACCTACCATCTCGAATTTTGTAACTCCAACAAAGAAGAAAAGAGGGAGCGAACGATATAGTTATATGCCTCAATATTTACAAAGGTCATCTTAAATAGATGTTTGCTTAATTAAAACATCAATATATCAAAACCAAAAACTAATCATAATATCTAGTTTATAAATAATTTTCAAACTAGCTAAAATTTTATTTTACTAAAATTAAATTTATTAACGGGTTGCGAAAAATTTAATGTTTTCTAATATCGTAAAAGTTCTTTCATAGATTGCCGACATTGAAAAATTTTCACATTGCCATGAAGCTAATGTTTAAAAAATCCATAATTTACGCTTACTACTCAGTGTTCATGTAGAATTTTTCAAAGAACCCATAATTAAGAAAACAAATATTTTGCCTTTCGATGTTTATTTGACTAGTAAATTAATAGCACAGATGGAGCTAATTTTTAACCCATAAAGGTGAGTCTCGAAATTACTATTTGCAGGTTTCAAGGGCAGCTGCTCTCTCTTCCTTCAACTCTTCACCAGAAATGTTGAATTGTTCCTTACTCCAATCGTCCATGGAAAGACCATCAACGATTTTGTAATGTCCCTGTGCATCGATAGTGACTGGGAAGCTGAAGTAGATATCATTTGGAGCACCATAGTGGGTTCCATCACTATAGACGGACATGGAGACCCACTCACCATCCTTGGTACCAAACCACCAATCTCTCATTTGATCGACAACAGCCTTGGCAGCTGAAGTAGCACTGCTGAGTTTTCTTGCGTTGATGACGGCAGCACCACGATTCTGAATGCAGGGGGTGAAGACTTTCTTCACCCAATCCTCATCATTGATGAGTGCCTTGGCATTGTGCTCCTTTCCATCTTTGCAAACAACAGCATGGGCAAGATCTGGGAATTGCTTGTTGCTGTGGTTACCCCAAATAATCACATTCTTCACACACTCATTGGGAACTACAGATTTGTTGGCAACCTAGACAATGGAAGAAAAGCGACATTTCAACGACTTACGAAGGACCTGGAAATCGGAAATAAAAGTCGTGAAACCCACTTGGAAGGCCGCGCGATTGTGGTCAAGACGAGAAAGGGCGGTGAAGTTTTCCTTTGGAATGGAAGGAGCAAATTTGCTCATCATGAGACAGTTGGTGTTGGCGGGATTACCGACAACCAGAACCTTGACGGACTTCTTGGCGTACTTATCGAGAGCTTGTCCTTGCTGTTTGAAAATGTTGACATTGACGGAGAGGAGATCACGACGTTCCATTCCTTGTTTACGTGGCATAGCACCCACCATAAATGCAACATCAATATCTCTGCATGCCTCTTCGAGGTCACATGTAGGCACCACCTTTTCAAGAACATTGAAGGCACAGTCTTGAAGTTCCATTACAACGCCCTTAAGGGCTTCAGCGGCCTGCGGGATATCAAGAAGGTGAAGAATGACCTTCTGATCCTTTCCGAAGAGATTGCCGTTAGCAATCATACTGGAAAGATTATAAGCAATTTGGCCAGCAGCGCCAGTTATAAGGACAGTAATTGCTCCTGTCTAAAGATGTAATATAGCTTATAAGTTAAATTTCTATAACCCACCATGACGAAGAGAAGTTACACTATTGAAAAACCGGGCGCATTCTAGTTGTGCATGTGTTATATACCACAATAGGCTTTGGGTCATTAATTACGCTTGTTGGTTCATTTAAACGTCTGAACTTAATTTTGTTTGCCAAAAGTTAAAACATAATCTTAAATTTATAGCACTAATACATTTGCTGATTTTAATTGTTAAATGATATGTAATTGATTGTCCTATTTTAAGACTCTAAAAATCGTACGTTGATTTTGAAAATGAATTTATCAGCCATTTTCAAGCTTGAAAAATTATTTAACCAAAAATTTGTGTGAAAAATATTGATTTCCCTCACAATTATTTAATAAGTTTTATATGCATCATTTATAAATATTGTTAATTCTGGAAAGTCTTTTTTCAATATTTCTCATTTTCCATCCTTATTTCGTGGTTCCATGCACAAGATATTGGTATTTGTTCGTTCATATTACCCAAATGCCAACTTCATTCACTTTGTTCCTTGATGGGCTACATAGGATTATTCCCAATAATGCTTAAGTGGAGATTTATGATCTCTCAATCAATTTAAATAATTCCTTTTTGAATATTTTATTTGCTAGCCTCAAATCATCGACGATCGGCAATTATTAATACGGTTTATAATTCATCATTTTTAACTTTAGCATTTTCTCGAAATAGAAAAATTACTCGTATTGAAAAAAACTAACGGAAACAACTCATTTGGGAATATATTTCTGTCTAATTTTATTTTCATGCATAATTGCAAGAAAATTTTTGACTTTCATTTGAGGAATCATTTCTAGTTTAATTCTGGGAGTATTACACTTTTGGCACTTCACGTTGGCATGACCACGGATATCGTTGTGCGTAAAATGGCTTGGCTAGTTGTCACATCCGCTTATCCAACCATATTGACACCCATATGCACACAGAATTTGGTGGTACCACCCCACCATCGATCCATACATTTCAACTGTGTGGCTCCTAGTAAGCGAATGGTAAAGAAGTAATTTAGTCTCAGCGAGAATGCGTAATTCTGGAGATTGCGCATTTACTATCCAGTTTAGCTAAAGCAGACTTTTATCTTAAGAACATATTCTAAATCAACATATCCGGCCGTTATACAACTCTTAGGAAAATCAAAATACCTGATCACAGTGTTTCATAATCGTTTATGATGTATTCTTAATAATTTCAATATTTGTTATTTATCCGAAATTATGTTTGACGGCTGCTCATAAGCTAACGCAACTTAAGCAGTAAAAGCTCAGCTGTAAGGGTACGCTTATCGGAGTGCCAGGAGGGGAGATTGGCTTGTAGCTACTTTCTCTTAAATGCAAATTCGGACTCCACAGTCCCACGTCCCTTCATTTGAATGCACTTCCAATAAAGCTCTTTATTTACAAGAATATGAAACGAACATAATTTTATAATATGATTAAATAAATAAAATATAAAATAAGTCAGGGTGTTTTTAGTACTGTCTCTCATAAGAAGCATTTTCGCTAAGCATGTAATAAATACACTCCAAGAAGTGATTTCTTCTCACTTTATAGATTACACCGAGTCACACCAATCACTTTGGGGAAAATATTTTAAATTATTAGTCATTTTAGAAGATAAGCACTTCCCTCTATTTTCCATTCAGTTGTCCACTTCTAAAAGTTCAAAGGTAACACAATGAAGCATTACATCACGCTAATTAGAGCTATGTGAAGTCACCTAACAGAATTAATGATATGCACATTGGCCAATAGGAAGGAATTCTTGAAAGTTAATCGGAAAAATGAAACCTAAAAAAGGAATCAATCTTTATTTCTGTGCAAATAGAAACGAAACTGCGATAAATGGAATAAATTAATGCACACAAAGGGTTGAAGAAGGACAAGGACTTCCTTATAAAGAGACGTTTCTTCAGTAACAATTTAATATAACTTATATTGGCTTGAATTGGTGACAAATGGTTGGCTACTTGATTAGCCAATAATTGCAGTCGAATGGATAGTACAGTGCATGGGGGATGGTGTTTGCGAGTCCCATTCGAGTCAAATGAAAGTTGTCAGTTATGTTTTCTTACAGAACACAGTAGAAAATGACAACCATTTATATCAAATGGCAGGCGTTTTAATGGCTATCATTAGCTCTTTAGTTGACTTCAGGATTCACAGAGGGTGAAGAACATCAAAGTGAAAAAAAGTCGAGAGGGGGGGGGGAACAGAAGATTGCTCAAAGATGTAAAAGAGACAGACAGATAGGTAGAAAAAAGGTGAGATGAGTACTGTGAAAGTAGTGGGGTGATGGTAGTTTGAAGTGAGAAGTCAACTGCCGGTTAATGGACCTTTTTTTGCCGTATGCGTATACGTTGCCCAGAGTGCACCCCGTGGTGGTAAGTCCATCTTACACCCCACTTCTCAAATATTGAAGAAGCAAATCAATTGGATTGCCAACATAAACGATGGAAGCCGTAAAAGAGTAAAGGAAAGAATTTTCGCGAACGCTGAAGACCCATGTCAGTCTCCACATGAAGGTTAATGCTTCATGATATGCCTTAAAACGTGAATATTTTTTAATCAAATGAAGTAAATCAAATTGTGGATTACCAATAATTAACAAATGATTGGTCACTTAAGCAGGATGACGAATTTAGGAGAGCATGACTACGAATGATGGCGTACTTCTTTTCAACAATAGCTTAATCGATTCAAATAAAATCTAAGTGTGCAAATTTATAGCACTGGCTTATAGAAAGGTATGAGGTCTTCCTGTTTAAGGCGAAGTTGTTTACCATCAATCGAAATCAGGCGTTTATGAAAGAATCCAAGCTGTTTAACATCAGGTATTTTTTGCGAGTGGAGTCTTGTATGCCACGCCTTCCGGCATCGCTTAAATAAACAAATGCCTTTAAACATCTTCCACTTATTTATTTATTTATTTATAACAAATGGCAGGCGTTTTGATAGTTATCATTAGCCATTTAGTTGACTACGGGCTTCACAGAGGGGAGGAGGAACATCGAAGTGAGAAGAATTCTGGAGGGCGAATAGAAGGGTGTTTCAAAGATGCAAAAGAAACAGACACATAGGCTCAGAAAGGGTAAGATAAGTAGTGGTAGGGGGTCGAATATGACATATAGTGGGGGTGAGGGTAGTTTGAAGTGAGAAGTCAACTGCCAGTTAATAGACTTTTTGCCGTATGAGTATACGTTGCCCAGGGTGCACCACGTTGAGGTAAGTCTATCGCACACCCCACATCTTCCACTTTGAATCCACATCTATTGAGGTGTACTTGTCTCTAAAGTAAAAATTATTTTTTCATAGCGTCGCAAGTGATTGATTTAACTCATTAATGACAACAGTGCCAATATATGGCCAATTTTGAAATCAATATTTATTTCCCTCTAAAGTAACACAATAAAACTTAAGTTATAATACTTATTGAACAAAATCTTACAGAAAAATGCCAGGATTAATGTCAGTAGAAGGCTTGATGTTCTTCATTCTCTCTAAAAACTCATGTAACAGTTGCTCTGTTTGGAAGAACTAATTTCAATTAAGCAAAATTTGGTGAATTTCATTGTCGATAAGACCTGAGCAATGCTTGAAAGCAGGAAAATTTAAATCCACAACCTCGATTGGAGATTTCATTTTGTCTGAAGATATCTACAGAAAGGTGACAAAAAGTTTTCCCCAAAGTAAAAAAAGACAAACTAAAAGCCAAGCATCGCATTGACTCGCATTTCATTCAATGTGAGCAAATTGAAAGCAACAAAGAAACTGGATGGACTAATTTTAAATAAAAAAATCAATTTCTGCATGAAGCTGAATCTGGTAAATGCCAGAAAGGCAGGAAATTTCATTTTCCTGTTTATTTAATGAAAACAATCATATTGTAATTAGATGAGTTAAATGCTTGATTCTCAAATACTTCGTTTGAATGAATTTGTTCATTCGGCGTTTCATTTAAATTTTGTGAAAAAAACAGCCCTTATTACTGGGGAATTCATATTTTATACGATTTACGTAGGCACCATGATGGAATGACAGGGTTTAAATGCGCGAAAAATTTCCCTAATGCGTGTGTGGTGGGTGGGGTGTGTGGGGGGGTTGGGGCGGGGTGGGGCGGGGGGTGAGGGGGGGTGGTGTTGATGGATGGTAAATAAAGCAGAAAAAGGCGAGAAAAGGAATTCATGGGAAAAGTTTTTTCGCCTCAAGGAGAACTTTGTAATTCCCCTCACTGTTGCATTTCCACAATCCTGGCTCTTCTGTGTGGAATTGGGGAACGTTTACTATGCAAGAAATTATAATATCAGATGAATAAGCCTTGAAAATTCTAATGATGTGCCTCATTTGATAATAAGATCGGGTGTTTAGTCGAGAATTTATAACTATCCACCAGAAAGCTTGGATTGAGTGAATGGGCCTCTGTTATTAAAGAAAAACGTAGTTTGGGGAGTTATTTATTTATTTATTTATATTAAATGGCAGGCGTCTTGATGGTTATCATTAGCCCCTTAGTTGACTTCAGGCTTCACAGAGGGCGAGGAACATCAAAGTGAAAAGAAGTCGAGAGGGGGAGGACAAAAGAGTGTTTCAAAGATGAAGGTAGAAAAGGTAGGAAAAAGGTGAGGTGAGTCCTGTGAAAGTGGTGGAATATGCCATACAGTGTGGTGATGGTAGTTTGAAGTCAGAAGTCAACTGCCAGTTAATAGACCTCTTTGCCGTATGAGTATACGTTGTCCGGGGTGTGCCACGTAGAGATAAGGCTATCGCACACCCCCTGTTATTAAAGTAAAACTCAGTTTGGGGAATGTGCCACGCCACCACGGCTAGGCCAGAACATTCTGGAAAGTGCATAATCAACTTTGTGCTTACTCACGCGCTGAGGCCAATCAGCAATCAATATTCGTGCGGTAGAAATCTCTTCCCACGTAGTCTGGCCGATTTTGTGGGAAACAATTACATGTTGTGGGACTTCGTAAGAGGCTAGTTGTACCTGTCTGAGAAGG